ATACATATATAAGCATTGTAGATATATTTATATTCTAATAATGACAAAATGTCAAATTTAATTTTTATTAAAGCAGAACAAAAAAAAAAACAAAATTGCTTCATTATAATTTTATTTAATAAGTTGTTAGATTTCTTATATGTATATCTTACTTATATAAAAATAAAGATAAAGAATATGATATAAAAATTAATAGACAAATAAAAGGAATGTACACTCTGCGAAATTCAATTAAAACCATTAAATTTTCTTAACTTTATTGGCTCTTTGTAAGCTTAGCTTATTTTATATCGACCGTATTTATTTACATTTGTCACTTTAATGGTATTCAAAAAATTATTTTAATGTTCATGCTTAAGTTCGTCGCGTAAGAAACACAAAAAACTAAAAATAAAAGAACAAGTTACTATATTACAAGCGAAATTCAATTAAAACAATTTCAATTTAGTTTTTTTTTCAAGCAGGTTTAAGGCAAGCTGTAGAGTTTTTCGTTCAATTTATTTTTTTTCTTAACAGCTTAATCGGATTTGGTAAAATATTTTATATTTTAAAGTTCTTAGTAATAATGGGTAAAGGTAAAGACTTGACAAATGAAGAATTCGCTAAAATTTAAGCTTACAAGGACCAAGGGTTGTCAACTCATAAAATTGCTACGAAAATTGGCAGGTCTGAAACAGCTGTGCGAAACTTATTCATTTTCAAAGAAAATTATGGCTGACTTCGTACAAATAGGAAAAATCAGAAACTTTCGGATCGCGAGAAATCAGCTTTACTTCGACATTCTCTAAATGGACAATCTCCTGCATCGGATTTAGTAGCTTGTTTGAAGCTGCCTATAGGAAAGAGCCGAGGTCAACAAATTTTATCGCAAAGTAATCGACTTACATGAGCAAAACGCCAACATTAACCCGAACTATTTAACTCACAAAGCGAATAAATTAAACTTTGCATTAGAATATATGACCTGGACGGATGAGTGGCATCAAGTAATATTATCTGATGAAAACAAATTTAATTTAGATGGAAAAGATGGAAATAACTATTATTGGCGCGACTTGCGTGCTGAAAAACAGATTTCCACAACAAGAAATTTTAGAGTTTGTAGCTTAATGGTTTGGGCTGCGTTTAACTACTGTGGAACCACGCCAATATGCAAAATATCAACCAGAATGAATTCTGAAGATTATATTGAACTTCTGGAGGATATTTTGATTCCATTTGGAGAAGATCACAGTAGTCCAGATGGAATTTTTCAATAAGATAACGCAGCGATTCATAAATCTAGCCGCACTATAAGATGTTTTTGATCAAAAAACATCCAATTAATGGACTGACCTGCTCGTTCTCCTGATTTAAACCCTAAAGAAAATCTTTGGCGAATACTGTCAAATAGGGTTTTTGCCAGGAATCGAAAAAGCAGAACTTTATAAAGCTATTGCCAAAGAATGGAGCCATATTTCAATTGGGGAACTCCGAAACTTAATCAACAGCATGCCAAATAGAATGCTTGAAGTGATAAATAAAAATGGGGGTCATACACATTATTAAATCATTAAATTTTTTTTGTTTTTACTAAGTTTTATTTATAACACTTATGAAATTCGAAAATTGTTTTAATTGAATTTCGTTCAAAAATTGGAAGTTGGTTTTTTGTTTTTGTTATTTTGCTGTTTATTTTATTTAAAGGATTTAATTTTAAATTATAAAAATATTAATAATTGAATATAAAAAAAATTACTGCTAAAAATTATTAAATAAAGTTAACCGTTTTTAAGATTTTCGAAAAAAAGAAAATGGTCTTAATTGAATTTCGCAGAGTGTATATAATTATATTTAATATTTTATATATGTTAAAGTATTTAGAGAAAATTAACATTTTTCTAATATAAAACGATTAAAGGAACGAAAAAACTTCAAAAATTTCTTCTTGAACTGCAAGATTCCACCACAGAAATTGTACTTAAAGTAAATCTAAGTTGAATAAATTTTTAAGAATTCTACAAACTAAATAAAATTAAATTTATTTAAAGTATGTATTGTTGAAGTTTTGTTCTTTAAATCTTCTCCATAATTATTATTACAGAGATAAGAATTTCAAAATTTCAGTAATTTTATTAAGATAATTGTTAGGTTAGCCCACCAAAATATTTATGGCTAATGGAAATATTATAGTAAATGTTATTTTTTAACAAGCGACAAGGGAATAAATTAAAAATTTTTACTATTGTTGTAGTGTTGACATTGAAATATTTTCTGAGAATTTTTAAAAATTTGAAATTTAATATTTATACCAAAGCGAATTGCGGTGCCATTTTTTTCTCTAGAATAAAAAAGAAATTAGAGTTATGTAGAAAATCATTCAAGAATAATGACGGAATTCCCATATATAATTTTTTTGATTTAGCTGTACAGAGTTGTAATTTAAATGATAAATCATCATAATGATGACCCCTTCTTAATTACTTTAGCCAACGCAACTCCTAGAAAATCAAACAAGGTGTGCATTTTGATAAGACAATTTGCCAGTTCCTCTGGTCAATATTGTGTCTCTCTAATTCTAATCGAGTTTCAGTTTAGAAATTGAAGTATAGTAACCTCCTCAAGTCGCGATATCTTCATCGGCGTCACCTTGCTTCAAATCTGAGCGACCAAGTGTGGTTGTGAGATCTTAAAAATAACAGCTTTGCAGTTATGCATCTGTACTTACATCAAAATTGCGTACTCAAACGTCTGTTTAATGGCGAATTATAAATTGTGATTTACAATAAATTCCCGTATATTTTTCATTTAAACTTTATCATCGCAACACTCTATTTGTGCACTTTGATTTTTCAGAATCGTTTTCATTCGTAAACCACTCGACAGAAGATACAAGTAAAAATACAAAACATACTAACATGTGGCAATACAATTATCACTTTAACGAATCTTTAAACTCATTTAGTAAGAACATAAAAATTCTCTTAATTTTTATAATATTAAAAACAAATTATGTACACTGTGATATTTTCTCTAAGGAATTTGTAAAATTTTGTTAGATTTGTTTGATTACTTATGCATAAATTATATTTTATTGAAAATTTCATTAAATTTACCACCCTTAACAAATTACAACATAATGTGTATAATGCGTTAAAGCTAGTAAGGTGGTGGTGAATATTTTCACTAGCAGAAACTAATTTTACATAATGTTATAATTTCACTCTCATTTCAAAACTAATTTTTATTTAATCGATTTTTTCTCACTATACTTTTTTATAAAAGTAAAAAAATAATTATATAATAAACATAATATTATTTTTCACTATTATATTCATATATTATATACAATACATTATATACTAATACCTATGTAAATTATGAACTTATCCTATAACATATAAGTACTTATGTAATTCAATCAAAAATAATAGCATATCAGCATTAGTTCCTAAAGGAATAATAATAATATTAGATCCATTTCATTAATCATAATCACATCATACTCGTATATAACGCAATATTATATATAATATGTGCAAATGTATTTTTATATGTAAGAATTCTATATGTAATTTTATGAAAATTTTTTATAAAAAATTATTATTTTTTTCTGTGTACTATATAAATTTACAGTTATCTAAAAATCAAGTTAGACAAATTCTTTTGAAATTAAATGAAAGAAAAACTATTAATTTAAGGTGTTTCCATCTCACACATTTTGGTCCCATATGTATTGGAATTAAATTAAAAGGGTTTTAGGAAAAACTTAGTAATAAAAGAAGCTTAGTAATAATGAAAAATTTTACCAAAATGTTAGTTATATATTCGGATATTGTCGCACTGTTAATTGCCAAAAATGAGATTACAATAAACCAGAACAGTGAATCACTATTGTATGCGTAAGCAAAGATCCGTTTAGAAAACTATTCCACATGTTTTTCAAATGTGTTTTGCCTGATTATCGCATGAAATGTAAAATTTTCTACATGTAAAAGTGTAAAAAGAATAAAAATTTCTACATAATTTTGAGAGTTTTAAATATTTTATACAGGCACCATTCCTTCTACCATTTCCTTCTTCTCCGGGTGAAAGACCTATATTACAAAGAGATACTCTGTATACAACACGTTCGAATATCATGTAGAATCATTAAAATTATGTTATATTTTATAAAGGCAAATGGGGCTGCTGATGTGTTTTCTACATAAAATATTATGAAAACTTTTACTTTTTAATAGCTTCCTATATACCTAAACATATTTAAATTATCCTCAGCACTACTTTGTAACACAAATCGAAATATAAGGTAAAACACAAACCCATACATATCTATATATGTAAGAGTATTAAAATTATTTCACATTAGTGAATTATAAAGTGTTGTAATATTGAGTTTAGTTCTTTTAATAAAATATTCTAATTTTAACCTTCATTGATTTTTACATTATTCTTATAATTTATTCATTTCAAATGAATTTTTTTTTCTATTGTAGAATGTAAAATAAAATATTTTAATATAGCGTAGTAGCTATAAATAAATTATAACTAAAAAGATTTATTTTAGAATATTTTCAATATACTTAAAAAAAATTAAATTTGAGATTTAAAATTAAATTGTTTCGGATAATGGAAAATTTAAGAAAAATACCATAAAATTGTGGTCCTTATACAAACAAATTTTCAATTTTTAAATTTGTCACTAATTTTCTTTGGGTTTTTATATATTTCGGCATAATTTTATGCCCAAACTGTGTTAAATCTCCTCAATATTTTCCGATCCTGACTCCAGCTCTTCTGGTTTTGTACTTCAAATTCGATTTCAACCTCTAAATTTATTATAACTGTAAAATTTTGCATTTTAAAGAATCTTTAAACTCCGAATCCACTTCCAAAAACATTCCTAAAAAATTTTTTAGAATATTAATATTAATTTTTTAAATTAATTAAATTTTTACGTTCTTATTTTTAATAAATTAAATTCATTAACAATTTTCTTTCATATTTCTTTTAATTTATAGACAGTTGAAGATCTTGAAAATCGATGCATGGAAGCTGGCATCGAAATAGTAACTAGACAATCATTTCTATCCGATCCAGCTGATGCTGTTAGAAATTTACGTCGTCAAGATGCTAGAATAATTGTAGGTCTTTTTTATGTTGTAGCTGCTCGTCGTGTTTTATGTGAAATGTTTAAACAGAAATTATTTGGTCATCAACATGTTTGGTTTTTTATTGGTAAGTATAACATGGATCATTATTTTTGATTTCATATACTTTTACTATAATATAATAGTTTATTTTACCATTGTCTATTTCTAATATTACTATACTGAATTCAACTTATATTAGTTCATATTAGCCTCAGAACGCCTCTCTTTCAAACTCTATTTTGAGCCAATATTTTTATGTCTGCCCATGTTTTTCCAGCTAATACCAATTCATTTGCATTTGATCTGCTCCAGAGTATTTGGCTGGTTTCTATACACCCTGCAGTTCTTTTCTGCTGCTCCTCAATTTTACGATTAACTCTTTCTAGAATTATATTCGCTATGTTGAGAATCGTCAATAATACCTCTTCAGCTCCTGTATTCTCCAAGTTTTCCCTTCTTCCGAAGCTCTACAATAATGGTTAACATGACCATGACTTAAGTTCATGGTTTGAGTGGTTTCACACAAATTACATAATTAATTATTAATTGAAATTCTTTCTTTTTTTTTAAATTGATCCCATCCTTTACAGTATTCTATCCTCAATTATATCCTCTTAACACATCAAAACTGGTATGACCTTATTCTAATTTTGAATTTTTTCTTTATCCATGAAAGAGCAAAAGGCTTTCAATTCTCTACTAATCTCCTCAACCTTTACAGAATTTAAAAAATAAAAATAAAAAGTGTTCTCTAATGAGATGTTGAAAAGTTTTTTATAAGTTTTTCATGAAAATAACTGTCATTCTGTATTTTATTTATAACAATTTTCCAATTTATTATGTAAATTAACTACCAAAAATTAACTTAAGTTTCTACTTATTTTTTTTTTTGGACTCTTATAACAGAATATTCAATGAAAATTTAATATAATTTCTGTGGAATATTCATTATTCTCTATGTAAGGACATATGTGTACAATGTTGATTAGGCCGCCCATAAAAGAAATTCTACTAAGAACGAAAAGAGAAAAGAAAAATATTCGAAAAATTCAATTAATTTTTCCAATATTTTCCGACATGAAACTTTTCTCAAATTGAATATTAACTGATATTAGTGAAAATGTTCACGTTCTATAATTATTATAACACGCAAAATTATAATAATATGATTTTGAATATAAATATTATATATTTACATGAAAATATCTAGGTAATATTAAAATAATGATCAGTTCAAAATTCACATACACGTTCTCTTTTACTTTATTAAGTATTTATAATAAAATCTATGTGTAAATGTGCACTATACAGAGTAAAAAAGAGAGCATTTTCGTTTCATTTAACCCCTTCTAAAACACTTAACATTTTTACTTACATTAATATTCTTGTATGTGAGAAAAAAATATCAACATATCGCATATAGCCTATACTAGGATATATGGGTACCAACTCCTCCTTCGTCATCTTCTTCTTATTCTTGTCCTACATAAAAAAAAAAAAATTTTACTTAATTTGTAATTATTATTTTGTAAATAGTAACAATTTTTATCCTACCAATTAAAATATTTTTACTTACATGAATGTGTGTTTGCACATACATTTCAAAAGAAAAACAAAAAGTTACTCATGTAAGTAACAAAGTAACAAAAAAGAAAAATAATATTATCCTTACCGTATCGGGTAAAATTTATTTTAATTACCAATGAAACATCTGTAAAAGTACCAAAATGGTAAAATGAAAAAAAAAAAAACTGAACTTAAAACGCATTTATACTTTATACAATTTATGTATAGGTGTATGTTCTTACTTGAACAGGTAAATGGAAAACGAATAACTAACTAAAAATATAAATGAATAATAAAAATTTTTTTTAGAGTGAAAATGAGAATGAGACCTTTTGGGCATCTTAAATGTATTTTACTATACTAAAAGAATTTTCTATTTAATGTTTATATTTTGTTTCCCTCTCGCTCCTCCATTATCCTCCACACAGTTTATATGATGACCGCTACCAGAGTTTTCATTATTCTCATATTTTATTATGGGGTCCGGAATGGTAGTAAATGAACCATTAACACGCATACAACACTTTGTCCTCCACATTTTTGTTTAATACAGAAATTTTTTTTGAAATTTTCGACAGTCAAATGAGATTTTTTTGGCAATTTTTGATGAATTGAATATAAAACGGTGAATAAACTCAGTATGGTGAATAAGTTCAGTATGTTCAATAAATTTAGTATGGTGAATAAATTATTTTTGGTGAATATTCTTTTGTTTGATGATTATTTCTCTAAATTACTATATGCATTACATAAAATAAAAAGATGAATAAAATAAATCATATGATGAATATATTAAAATTCATAAAATTGTTAATTGTAATATTTAGAAAATAATGTTATTTTAATTAGTTAATTTTCCTAATGACCTAGATAAATACATAATAAAATCAAATTAAATTGTGTATCTACTTATATGTATGCACTTAAACGTTGTTAACTGCGATATCTAAATTTTCAACTGCTACTTTTATAAAGGTTAAATTATTATAAAAGTTTTTTCTACTTTATGTTTGTATGCTAATATCATTATGGTCATATAAAATGCACGTATACATATAGCTTCATATATAATTGTTGTACAGCCTAGAAATAAGACATAAGACCTCGTGAAAGTTATTTCAATTGAATATTTTATGAGCGTTCTCATTTAAACTAAAACTTTATTCTGGGCATAATTTTCAAAAAACAAAAAAAAAAATAAAGGCAAAATAAGAATACCTTAGAGGTTTTTGGATAATATGCTCGTATATGAGTGAAAAAGAAAATAATAGTATGAAAGAGGCAAAAAAAAGTATTATTATGGTCTTTGCGTTCTCTCTGATGGTCTATTTCGGTCTTGTTTTTCTTCTTCTGATTTTTGCGCCTGCAAACGGATGTATAGAGAAAAACTTTTTGGTCCGTAACCTTGTTTTTTTTTTTTTCAAAAAAAAAAAATAAAAATAAAACAAGGCAAATCGATGATGAAATTTTCTTCCTTGTATTAATTTTCTCTTCCCTTAAAACTCGTCTCATATCCTATTTGCAAGTTGAGAATTTTTGTTTTATATTTTTCCTTCATTGATGACCCTTTTAACATTCTTAAAACGAAAATTTTTATGTTCAATTACTTCATTTGTCCTTTCCTTTTGGTTTTGTGTCCTTTTTTGTTTTCCTTATTTTATTTCCCAATTTATGTTTGAGCGTTAACTTTCAACTGACCGGCAGAAACAATCTGATAGAAGTTAGAAATAAATGAAGATGTAGGAAGAGTTCATTTGGGAGAATCAGAACAAAAAATAGTCCTCTCGTTAAAATATCCTCTTTCTATTTTTCTTGTCTATTACAATAATTTATGACTGACGAGTTATATAATTGAATTAAATTGTTAACTTTTCATCCAAGGCTCTTTTCGCCATGTACAGTATACATGTAAAACAAGGTATGAAGTTTTAGAAAGTTTTCTATTATTTGCTTTGAAATCTAGACTTGCTGTGCCTTAATATCACTTATGCATTATTAGACATTAATTCGTATTCTAATGTTTAAAAATAAAATTCGATTGAATAATAAGCGGTAATTATTGTTTAAAATCCGTTTAAAATTTCATTAAAAACCCTCTATATCCACTAAAATGCTCCTAAAATGGAACAGATATGGTGCTTTTAATAAAACTTTAAAAAGTTTATTACTTAATTTAGAACGTGTAAGTATAAAAATTAAAAACTTTAATAATTCCAACCGAAATAATCCAACCATAATTACAATTTAAAAACAAAAAAAAAAACAAAAAAAATCCAATGAAATAGGTGCTTAACAAGGTTTTTAAAAATTTGTGAATTCTTTTAAGTACTTAGCAATTTTATCTAATAATAATTCTTTTATAATATTTTTTTAAGTATATTAAACAGAATTACTGACCTTCATCAATCATGTAATATTTAGATATTAAAATCCTTCTAAAAATTTTCTGTGTATATATCCTTCCAGAAATTTTTTTTTTATCTAAAAAAGAAAAATTAAAATTTATTAAAAAAAACCCTAAAGTTCAAGAAATTAAAATTAAAATTTTTTATTTCTTAAAACCAAACATTTCAATTCTAATAATATCAAATTTTTGTTTTTTATTTTCTTATTAAATCTAAGCTTAACAAATTATTAAATATGACAAGATTTTATAAGAAATTAAAAAAAAAACTGTAGAAAAGCACTGAAAGAAATAAAAATATTCTCATAAATTTTCCTATTTCTCAGAACTTTTCTTTTATTTAAAGGTTACCAATGATATCCTAATCAAAATTAATCTCTCACTTTTACTCAAAAAAAATTTTTTATGTAAAAATGTAAATATTTTTATATTGTAATGGAAACTTTGAAATACTCGTTCGCCTCTTCATTTTCTTCTAAATAAATTATTTTAAAACCATATTTTTTGTGTTTTCTTGATTTTTCTTATATAATATAATATTTCAATGTACAATAGCAGCTTGAGGCATTCCTATGAAATGTAGTATACAAATGCATAAATATTTGCTGCTACATATAATATATACATACTATATTGGATTAACAATAAAAGTGAAAATTAAAAAAAAATAATTTTTCAATCAAGAAAAGAAAATTAGAATCCTTTTTATTTTTTGCCGTCCTGGAAGAAAAATCTTGTAGAAAAATAACAAGGTAGCCAGGGTGTTAGTGATATAAAAAAAAAATTGAAATTATAAAATTAAAGATCAGTATGAAATTTTAATATATGTATATGTATCTTACTGTAGATTCTTTTTCAATCCAATAAATTTTAATAGATTTTGCGAATTGAAATTTGATATTTGATACAATAAACATGTTCCTTTAAGATGTTGTTGTAGGTGTTCATTGGTTTAAGGATCCACACTTATAAAATAGTATTATAAAGCTGAAAAATTAAAATGAAATATTCAAAATACAATTTGATTAAAATTTTTGAACAATAAATGATTGTTCTTTACTAATTTTCAGAAATTTATTATTTCTTTTATTTAAAAAAGAATTCCTAAAAGAGTA